TTTGGCTCTAAGGTTCGGGCCAAAGGCGTTTAATAGGGTTTAGGGTTTAGAAGTTTAGGGTTCAGGGTTCAGGGGTTTAGGGTTTAGGGGTTTAGGGGTTTAGGGTTTAGGGGTTTCGGGTTTAGGGGTTTACGGTTTAGGGGTTTAGGGGTTTAGGGGTTTAGGGGTTTAGGGGTTTAGGGGTTGAGGGGTTTAGGTTTTAGGGTTTAGGGTCTACTGTCTGGTGCTTAGTAGGGAATGGGGGAATGGATCCCTATGATAGTCCCTTGAAGTCCCTTATAGTAGTCCCTATAACCCATTCCCTACTAAGCACCAGACAGTCTATTGATACAGGGTTTAGGGCTTATGGTTTACGTAGGGGTTCAGGGTTCTCGAGGTTCGAGAGGGTTTGATATGCATATGTCGTAGGGTTGAATATGCGGTTTTTTGAGCCCACGTTGTGATTCGGTACTCTTTTATTGATGGTATATAAGTTATACAAGCTGTTTGTAACGTGGTATCGCCATTTCCGAGTGTGTCATGTGGCTTGTCAAAAAAATTCTATAGGAGGGATTTACCGGGCGTGCATACGTTTCATGCAAGGGGGTTTCTCAAAGGCTCTGCGACCGCCGTGTGAGGATTTTTCCTGATTTTCTAGAAGGGACTCAAGAATAGTAGCATTGCCAAGCCTTTCATCTTCTATTATAAAGTTAAAGCTGCCGCGCTGGGGGGGCCCTAAACCCTAAACCGTAAACCCTGAACCCCAAACCCTGACTCCTAGACGCTAAACCCAAAACCCCGAACCCTAAACCCAAAACCCTAAACCCCGAACCCTAAACCCTAAACCCTAAACCCCTGAATCCTGAACCCTAAACCCCGAGCCCTAAACCCTAAACCCTAAACCCCGAACCCTAAACCCTAAACCCTAAACCCCGAACCCTAAACCCTAAACCCCGAGCCCTAAACCCTCAACCCTAAACCCCAAACCCTAAACCAAAAACCCTAAACCCTAAACCACGAACCCTAAACCCTAAAACCTAAACCCTAAACCCCGAACCCTAAGCCCCAAACTCTAAACCCCGAACCTTAAACCCTAAACCCTAAACCCTACACCCTAAACCCTAAACCCCAAACCCTAAACCCCTTAGGGTTTAGGGTTTCGATTGTTTAGGGAGCCTTGTAGAGGCAGGCGCCCTCCACGCGCTCGTCGCAGCGCATCTCATCGATTCCTTGTCGAGGCTTTACGGTAGCACCGGTTTCAGGGTTTACGGGTTTAGGGGTTT